AGGTTTCCTGATGTCTGATAGGTAAAAGACATGAGGATGCTGCATAGGCAGGGAGGTAAGGAAATAAAGCATGCACAACTCTTCCAAGAGAACTGTGAAAAGGAGAGAGCTAGAATCTGAGCTAAAGATTTTCATTTTTAAGTATATGTTATTGATTATGCTATTACGGTTGTCCCATTTTTTCCCTCCCCTTTATCCCCCTCTGCCCTCCACCCCCCCTTTAAAGATTTTCATTTTTTAAAGGGGAAAATTATGGGAGGGAGGTGGGGAGCAAGGAGTGGGGGAGGCTGGGATGGGAAAAATAGACAAAAAACTGTACTTGAAAAATAATGAAATAAAATTAATTATAAAAATAAAAATAAATAAAAAATAAAGGGCCCTGGCTGGTGTAGCTCAGTGGATTGAGCACGAACCTGTGAACCAGAAGATCACGGTTCGATTCCCAATCAGGGCACATGCCTGGGTTGCAGGTAGGTTCCCTGCAGGCCAGTTCCCTGCAGGGGATGCACTAGAGGCAACCATACATTGATGTTTCTCTCCCTCTCTCCTTCCTCTCTAAAGATAAATAAATAAAAATAAAATCTTTAAAATATAAAAAATAAAAAAAAATAAATAAAAAATAAAATAAAAAATAAAGGGGAAAATTTTGGAAACTATTATAAGTCAGTAGAAAATGAAAGTGTTTTTCTTTTTAAGATCATAACACAATTTATTATATTGTCTGCTTTTCTTGCAAAGGTAAACACTATTGCTATTAGCATTATTTTAGTCTCTTGGACATTTCTGAAAGAACTTCATTATAATTTCTAACTAGGAGCGAAAATATAGCATTAATGTATAAAACTGCTTAACTAAGTAAGGCTGCATTGGTTTTATTTTTTTCAGTGATTTTTCTTTTTATTTATTTATTTATTTATTTATTATTGATTATGCTGTTACAGTTGTTCTATTCCCCCTTTACTCCCCTCCACCCTACCCCCCCATCCCCACCATCACCCCCCCTTTAGTTTATGACCATGTGTCTCAAGTCCTTTGGATTCTATATTTCCCATGCTATTCTTGCCCCCCATCTATTTTCTATCTACTGTCTATGCTACTTATTTTCTGTACCTTCTCCCCCCTTCTCCTCCTCCCACTCCCCTATTGCTAACCCTCCTTGAGATCTTCATTTCTATGTTTCCACTCCTGATCTAGTTGTCCTCTTAGTTTGCTTTTGTTTTAGGTGTGGTTGTTAATAACTGTGAGTTTGCTGTCCTTTCACTGTTCATGTTTCTTTAACTTCTTTTTCTTAGATAAGTCCCTTTAACATTTCATATAATAAGGGCTTGGTGATGATGAACTCCTTGAATTTGATCTTATCTGAGCAGCACTTTATCTGTCCTTCCATTCTAAATGAAAGCTTTGCTGGATAGAGCAATCTTGGTTGTAGGTCTTTGGATTTCATGACTTGGAATACCTCTTTCCAGCCCCTTCTTGCCTGTAAGGTCCCTTTTGAGAAATCTGCTGACAGTCTGATGGGAACTCCTTTGTAGGTGACTGTCCCCTTAGCTCTTGCTGCTTCTAGGATTCTCTCCTTCATTTTAATTTTGGCTAATATAATTACGATGTGCCTTAGTGTGTTCCTTCTTGGGTCCAACTTCTTTGGGACTCTCTGAGCTTCCTGGATTTCCTGGAAGTCTATTTCCTTTGCCAGATTGGGGAAATTCTCCTTTATTATTTGTTCAAATAAGTTTTCCACTGGTGGCTGTGCCTTTCCCCCTTCTGGTACCCCTATAATTCGGATGTTGGAGCGTTTAAAGATGTCCTGGAGGTTCCTTAGACTCTCCTCCAAAAAAAGAATTCATTTTTTTGAATTCTTGCTTCTTCACTCTTTTCTGTTTGGCCATTATTCATTTTCTTCTGGTTCTCTCCTTTGATTTGAGTCCCAGTTTCCTTTTCATCGCTATTGGTTTCCTGTGCAATTCCATTCATTTCAATTAGTTTCGCCTTCATGTTTCTCTAATTTGTGGCTATAATCAACCAGTTCTGTGAGGATCCTGATCACCAGTGTCTTAAACTGTGCATCTGAGAGTTTTGCTATTTCTTCGACGCTTAGATTTATAGGCTCTGGGGCTTTGAGATCTTCTTGAGCCATTTTTGGTCTGTTCCCGCTCATTAAGTATGAGGAGTGGAGCCTTGGACTCCCAGGTCGCTGGGTTGTGACGCTGTATGTGGGGGGGTGGTCAGAGCGGGAAATGGCGGCACCCTCCACTGCTGCTCGCCACGGGGACCGCTGGGTCCCAGTCCAATTGCCCACTCCCTCGCTTGTCTCTCGGGGCATGAATGTGAGACCACAGTCAACCCGCAGCCCTGCTCCCTCACTGTTTCCCCATCATCGATGGGTCTCTCACTAGGTCCAACCCTGCGCCTGGATTCCTCGCAACTGAGTCTGTCTGACCGAGTTTTCCTGTGCTACCCCGCTCCACCACCTGCTGGTTTCACCCCTTACTGGTCACGCTGAAGAATTTGTTGTTAACAGACTTCCAAAAAGTTCAATTTTCTGTGTTCTGGCTGTGTTTTCTGTTGCTAATATTTAGTTGTCTCTAAACTTGGTTGTGTGAGAAAGCACGGTGTCTCCACCTATGCTTCCATCTTGGCGGAAGTCCTCCTCCTCTTTTTCTAAATTCCCAGCTCTTCCTCCTTCATCTTTGATTCGCTCTTAGCTGACCTTGCTTCCTAATTCACTGAGATGAAATAGGCTACCAGGAGAGAATCTCCACTAGCTTCTACTGCATCATCATTCATTCACCTCCCTGCATCTGTGCCCAAAAATTGTGACTTCTCTCTTCTTCCTTTGGATGAACGCTTTGTGCCCCTGACCAATCAAGGCCCTCACTCTCTACTCGATTCCATCCCCTCTCACCTCATCAATGATATTGCTCCAGTTACTCCCCTCCTTCTCTAGTATTATCAGTTCCCTCTCTCTACTGGCTCTTTCTCATCAGCATAAACATATGGTTATTTTTGCCATTTAAAAAAATATGTGGCAAAATATCCTTGACCTCACTTCTTTTTCACTAGTACCCAGTATCTTTCCTTCCTTTACCACAAAACTCCTCCAAAGAGTTGTCTATACTGTATCTATCCCTCCCCAATTCTTTCTTGAACCCACCCACAATCAAACTTTCACCCCACCCCTCCACCAAAATAAATCTTGTCAGATTATATCACCAACAACCTTCTAAATCAACTCTCAGACTCTTCTTACTTTACCTGTGTTCAGCATTTGACAAAATTGATCTTTCCTCTTCAATGATTCTCCTGCTGTTGGCTTCCAGCATACCATCATCTCCTGGATTTCATTTCTCCCTCCTTCACTAGCCATTCCTCAGTCTCTTTGATGGTTCCTACACATTTCTAAAATCAGTTAATGTTGGAAAGCTCCAGGATTCAGTCCTTGCACATATTTTTTTCTATTTATATTTGGTCCCCAGTGATCTCTTCTAATCTCATGGCTTTAAATAACATCCATATACTGATGAGTCTCAATTTTATATCTCCAACCCAGATTTCGCCAAATTTATACACCTAACTTCTTTCTTGACATCCTGACATGCCTAAAGACATCTCAAACTTAACATGTATTAAACCAAGCTCCTGACTTATCTTTACCCCAAAACCTGCTCCTCCCACAGCCTACACCCTCTCAATGTTCAGGCCAAAAATTTTTCCCTTTCTCATAGTACCTAACCCAGAGGAAGAAACTGTTGGCTCTACATTGAAAAGACACCTAGAATCCAATTATTTCTCACCACCTCTCACCACACTAATCCCAACCACCATCATCTCTTACCAGATTGCAATCTTCTCCTAAATGGTCTCCTGCTTCTATTCTGGCTCTCTTCATATCTGTTCTCCTTAGCTAAAAAAAATTTTTTTAAGTCAAATTCATGTCACTCAAAATCTTCTGATGGCTCCCACGGCAAAGTAAAAGCCCAAGTCATCCAGGTGAAGCCCTCCAAGGTGAAGTCTTTTCCTTATCTCTTTCACCTGATCTCCCACTCTCTCTCTTCACCCCAGCCTTCACAATGACCTTCTGGTTCTTTCTCAAAAGTGGCAATTATGCCCCCATCTCAAGACTTTTCTTTTACTGTTCACTCTGTCTCTAATATTCTTCCCCAAGATATCAGGATGATTCACTCCCTCATATCCTTCAGGTCATTTAAATCTCACCTTCTCATTGAGGGTATCTCTGACTACAACTCACACTTCATATCCACCTCCCTGCTTTATTTGCCTCCAAAGTTATTACTTCCATCTAACATACTATATAGTTTACTTATTTGATCATTGCTCTTGTGTTTCTACTAGAATGTAAGCTTCTTGATGGCAAGGAGCTTTTGTTTCTTCTTGTTCACTGCTGTATCCCTAATGCCTAGAAGAGTGCCTGGTGCATACAATAGTCATCTGTAAAATGTGATTTAATAAGAGCCCTAAAGAAACAAAGGGCTGAGACCCAAGAGGGACTGGTTTTAAACAAGAAGACACACATCTCTTCCTATTTTAAGCAGAGGTAAGAATGTATTCAGATATATTTGTAGGCAAAAACTCTCCTGATTGCCCCTAGTTTCTCTGGGAAATAGAAGACCCAGAGGGACTTCTGGGCAGTGGTAATGAACAAAAATACAAGCTGTGGAGAATGGTAGCGGGAACTCAGAAATCCTAAGCACTCCTACCAGTCGAGTGGACCGGCCAGGAGTTTCTGGCTTCCGCCTGGGAGCGGGGGAGAAGCCCTACCGGCTTTACTTTATTTGATGGTCCAGATGGAATTAAAAACCTGGATTTGCCTTGATACCAACCTACCTGGCTGTGCGGAGCTCTGACGCTACAATGGATACAAGCCAATAGCCATGACGCGTCTCAGTGACGCAAGACGCAGGGAGTGGCTTGCATACCCAGCCGCAATGAGGCAGCTGCCCGCTGGGTGGCGCCAAATTCCCGGGGAGGTCCTTCCTGGGCCCCCGGTGGAGGTGGGCGAAAGGCCGGCTGGAGCGAAGGCTACAGAACTCACTGCGTCAGCTGCTGCTCACTGCTCCGAGCAAATACCAACTGGGACTCACCCGCAACTCCATGCTTGTGCCCACCTTGACTCGTCCAACCCCGGAGAAAAAGCAGGTACGTGCCACCGGTCGGAGGCTGGGGAGAGTGCAGAGGCCAGTGCCTTTGAGGCTCAGAAAGTGAGGCGTCAGCAATTGCCTAAGGCAGAATGGGCACTAGAAATGTAGGGTGAGTGCCAGCTGCTCGGAGGAGCTCCAGCTGCAGATGCCAGTTGTGGGGGTGCCTGCCAGCTGAGAACTCCGGGTGCCAGGAAGAAGTTATCTGTGTGCTGATCAATGTGTTCCAAGGAAATGCTGCTTGACAGGTCTAGGTCTCTGTGCCCTGTGTGGTATGTGGCCTGGGAGTGCTGCCTAGACACTGTCAATCCCTTCCTCAAGTGGGCAGGCAGTTCATGTCCTCCCTCCTCTTAAAGGGACAAGGGGGGGGGGGCTACCTCTGGTCAGTTTGCCAGAGGGAGTGGGGATGGCAGGAGGGCAGCAGTTAAGTGAAAGCAGAGGTTTTCCACCAATCCCAACCAAAAAAAGCAACTTTGAAATTCTCACCAATACCAAACCAAAAGCAGGCTGGTGTAACTTAGCCAAGGGAAACCCTGGCCAACCCATTCTAGCTGTTGTGAACATTTACTTTCTGACCTGGGTGCTTCTAGAATGGGGATAAATTGGAGACGGTGGAGATGCTCGCCTCCCCGGGCATGAGGATGAGAAGGTCTCCCAAGTTGGACCCTGTAAGGTGAAGGAAAGGAGAACTAGTTGAGCTGGGGTTGGGGCACCCCACTTCTCTGATGCTGTAGATTCATGCCAGACTGGGGTAATCACAGGGCCTGGAATTAAGGACCCAGACAAGGGTGTCCTCTGAAGTGCATCATTAGGACCTGAGCTGAGTCAGTAGCCTGTCCTGAGACAGGGTGGAGGCACAGCTTCAGAGACTCCCAGGGACAACCATCAAGAAACAGACTGACAGACAACAAGAGTTCCAAGGCCTGAGAGGTTAAGAATCATGCTCCTTCTTCCTGTGACCCTTCTTACCCCAGTTCTGTGACCTGGAAATACTGCGCACTCCTACAGGTAGAGTGGAACCACTCCAGAGCAGCTGGGCTGGGGGAAACTTCCTAGTTGCCTGGGGGAAACTGCACTTGCTATATTTTTCTAGGCAAAGGAGGAAGGAGCCCAAATGGGCCTGTCCCTTCTCAGTTGGGTTGGCTGGGCAGCTGGGAATATAGTGAGCAAGCCTTGGAACATACACTGGCTCAGAGAAGCAGGGAATTGTTCTCTGGTGTTAGAGCAGGGCACTCCCAGGGGTAGCACAGGGGCCTTTTTCTCCCTAGAAAGTTTCACCTGAGGGGTGCTACTAAAGTACTGCCATCAATTATTAAGTAGAAGTATTCAATATAATAATGATCATTTATTGATCTCTTACCATGTGCCAGGAAGTTGACATTTTATTTTACCCTCACAATGGTGAGATATAGTATTATTATGACCGTTGCTCCTGGTCTATAGACAAAAGAACTAAGATTCAGACAACTTAAGTGATTTTTGCCCAGTGTTTCAGAGCCTAGAAGTCCATTATAAAAGAGTTTGGGCTGAAAATACTGAGAGCTAGTCTCTTGTGCCTCTTTCTATGTGTGTGCCCTTAAGCAAGCTGCTATCCATCTTGAGATATTCACCATCTCAAAAGTAAAGAAGTTAGACTAGCCCTATGGCTTCTTCCTCTCTAAGTCAGTGACTGACACCTGCTTCTCCCTATTTTTGCCTCAATTCCATCCCTTGTCCCACTACCCTCTTTCCAGTTGTTTCACCTTGAATTTTCCTTCTGTCCCACTTCAAAATGTCTCCCATTTGAAGTCCTCTTGGGTCTCCTCGCTTGGCACAGGTCCATCAGGACAACCCTTTGAGAGAGTGCCTGTTCCTGCCCCTTTAATTTTCCCTGGGCTTGTAATGCATGTGAGTTGAGCTAACTAGCCAGCTCTGTGAGGTCAGATAAGATACTATATATATATCAGAGTCAGTAACCTGAGCACCAGATTACCCAGCCTAGAGTCATACTCCAGCCTCTGGGCTCTCCACTGTGCTACTGGCCCAGCTGCGGAAGGAGAAGCCCCCAGATCCTGCCCATTGCCCCTGCAACACAGGTTAGTAGCTGCCCTTTTAATACCTGTGCTTCACAGGGACGCTGAACTGAGGGCCCTGGACTGTCTGTTTGGGGGAACATTTGAGAGACTGCCGTATCAGGCCTGGGGGGTGCTGTGGGCAAGACTGAAGGCTAGAGGTCAAGGACAGATGAAGAATGAAGTCCTGGAGGAGAGAGAGAAAGCTGTTCTCCCCCAGCAAGGAGGCAACATGAGAGTGCCTGAAGAGAGGTGTCTGGAAAGGGAATTTAAGGATTTCAATGCTGCCTGAAGGCCCACCTCCATTGCCTTTTTTTGGAAGTGTAGAGATGCCTACCCTCCCAACCCCAAATCAGAGAATCACCCAACAGAGACTAACCGACTTCTTTTCAGATAGGATTCTTGCTATAATCTCCTATCTTTTTATTTTACCTCTTCTCCCTCCTCTCTCCCAGCCCTTGAGACTGAAAGAGAGACAGAAATGGACCCAAATCCCCTTAAATGACCTCCTGTCAAGGCATGTAAGACTATTAGGCACTAAACTGGTGGGTCACTGACTCCTAGCCCCTCAAGAGATAGAGCTGCTAGTGACAGGCTGGGAGGGGGGCGGGGGCAGATTGAGGAGCCTGGGGGTCTGAGATGAGTAGACAGATCTAGAGTGAAATATCCTTCACTCTACCTGCATCCTCCACACCTGCCAAGACAGCCCTGGACTCTCAAGTTCACACTTGTGCCCAGACAGTGCCTGACACGCTAACAGTGAGGGTCAGAGAGTATGGATGGAGACAAGGCCCCTTTCTCATCCCACTCTTCCCTTCAGGTCAGCCCATCAGCAGTACCTTATTCCTTCACAAATGGCTATGGGAAGTTCTGACATCACCACTGTGAAGGTTCCCAAGCACCTGTCAGAACTAGCTGGTTCTTCTCACTCACCTGTCCTGGACGTGTGGGCAGGAGGAACTGAACCCTGTTGAGGCATGTTTCTGAAACCCACCTGTGGGCTTTCTATTCTATCCAGACAACGACAAGGCATGCCTTCACCCCAGAAAGCAGGGCAAATCTGGGCAGAGAAGAGCCAGGGATGTGGGGCATTACCCATCCCTTTACTCTGGATGCCAGAAGTGCCTAGGATTCCTTGGGAGCAAGTCCTCCCCTGGCTGAGCAGGTTAGGGAGCCTTTCACATAAGCAACAGGAAATGACAGTGGCAGATTGCAAGGGGGTTGGATGCGCCTGGGGTATAGGTTTCATTTTAACCCCTGACTCACTAGGCCTGGGTATCTTGGGGAGTGAGCCAAGCTACAGCAAGGATAGGAGGCTGGGGCACATGTCCATAGAGCGTAGTGCCAGGGGACATGCAGGAGCTTGGCACTGCAGGTGAAATAGAGGCCTCCTGGACCATCTCGATGCTGATAAATATTGTACAGGGGCTCAGGTTGCACCTAACTTTGCTTTCATTCCCCTGCAGTGGAAACTCCACAGGGCTGCTCCTGCAGGAATTTGTACCCAGCATGTTGTTACCTAGACAGTGATGCCCCCACCCTATGTCACATGTCCTCCACTGTGTGCCTGCTCAGGGAGAGTTCGGGATGGTATGAACTGAGGGGCAAACTTCAGAGTGGCTGTTAGAGGACTGAACACGGGTCCCAGTCCAGCTCTGCCACCCTTTGCAGTGTGATCTCGGGAAATCCACATCACCTGCACAGGTTATAGTTTCCTTACCTGTAAATGGGCATATTATTAATAGCACTTACTGCAGGGATGTCAAATATATTTTCACCTGGAGCTACATCAGCCTCACAGTTGCCCTCAAAGGGCCAGATGTAATTTTAGGACTGTATTTAACAGTTAAGCGAGAGCTCAGTGCTGCCACTGGGTAGAAACAAGGTGCCACAGGCTGGATAAAACAAGGTGGAGGGCCAGATTCAGCCACATGTGTTTGCTACATGTGACCTACTGCTTAGAGCAATTTTGAGGATTAAATTAATTAAACACAGTATCCCAGAAGTCTTAGTGCCATTTTAAGCTTTAAAAATTTCAGAAGTATGAATGTGAAATGCTTCATTTGAATGCTTCATTATTTAAATTTGTCTATTTTAAAATTTGAATTAAAATATTTCCTACTTCAATTTAATGTAAAAAATTAAACCTTCAAATGATGCTTGTAAGTTTGAGGCAATTTTTCTTCCAAAAGAATTAAAGCTTAAAACTGCACTAAGATTTGAGGGACACAGTATGAAGCATACTTACCAGAGCACCAGGCATGTGGTGAGTGCTGCATGTGAAGTACTCAGTATGGTACCTGGTTCAAAGATGTTCAGTACCTGTTGGCCAGGGTGTTGGCGCATGGCTCACATATCCCATCAGGAAGCTGAATGTTCTGTGCAGAGGAATGCTGCGGTCCCTCCCAAGATGCGGGAACTGAGCAAAGTGAGGAGAAACTCTAAGAGGGCTGGGAAGAGTGCAGGCACCTCTGTGAGATGGCATGGAGAAGGGGCTGGGAAGGTAGACTGCCCCTGCTGTCCGAGATGGCAGGCACCTGGGGAGGCACCTCCTGGAGCCACATGCCTGTACTTGCCAGCTCTGAGGAAACAGTGAAAGGTGCCAGGCAGCAGGGGCCCCACACTGGACAGGGAAGGGGAGGGTGGTGTCCCAGCCAATCGACTTGCCTCCCACTGTCCCATGAAAATCCAGTTCAGGCTGTTGCTGTGGCAACAAGGAGACTCATAGCCATGTAAGTGCCAGTCCTGTCCCTGTCTTGTGCAGCAAGGATACTGCCAGGGCCCTGGCCTGTTTTCCAACCCATGGTGTAATCTGCAGCCTCCAGGATGAGTCTTGACAGGTAATGCCAAGGGGTGCCAACCCAAGCTGTCAGCTCACCTGAAAGGTATTAGCACTTTTCTCAAGAGTGAAACAGGGTGAGAGGCAGGGGGAATAAGAATACGCAAGTCCTCAACCCCAACAGCGACCCTCTCTCCAGACATGGGAACTGTAAGCTGTCAGTGCTGAGAGGCAGTTTCTGGGGGTCTGTTAGTGACAGCATGACCCCTCATACCCAGGGCTGCTGTTGGGAGTGGGAAAGTCTGTCAGTTGGCTGCCAGATTGGAACAGACAGGAAAGCAGGGATTTAGGAGCCCTCCTGGGACTCCGTGGGCCTAAGGTGTGGATCTACCTCTAGTCCCCAACCCTTCCCAGGGCTACTCATTAGCTGTCCTACAGTTATCTGTCCCTGTCCAGGCTATACCTTGTATGGCCCCAGCATTTCTGCATCATCAGCAGTGCCAGGAGAGTTCATGAGCTCTGGACACTGCCTGCAGGACACCAATTCGCTGGGACTTTGTGTGGGGGTTGGGAGAGACAGCCTGGGGAGGAGGCTTGAACTCTTGCCCTGAGAAGATTATATCTGATTGGCTGCTAGGTGTCCCAGAGCCCAGCTCCAGAGACCTGGAGTTTCTATGACTTTGAATTATTGATGGAAGTCTCATCAATACTGAAATAGAGCAGGACTGAACCCAGCCCCAGCTCCAGCCCCAGCAACCTGTGCCTCTGTCGCTCTCTCCCTGTGGCCTCCCTCAACCTTCACTCTTCCTTCTCTGTATCCAAGTTAAGCAAATGGGAGGAAAGCTTGTGGTTTCCCCCAATCCTGAATAAGGTCTTCCTACAGTTACCTTCCCTAAAAAGGGGGTAAAAGTTGCGCTGGAGGTAGGAGCACAATAGGCAAGGGAGTATACATGAAGGTAGGGGGCCCCAGGCCAGGTGGGAAAAGGGTAGACAATAAATGTGGGCCGGTCTGGACTGAAAATTGCTGGCAGGGCCTTAGGAGTTTTTTCCTAGGGCCTATATGGAAGTTGCCACCTGTTGATCTACCCCTGTACCCATCCCAAGCCTTGCATGGACTGAATTTCTGCGGCTCGCTGCCAAGTCCTCAACATGTGGGGCTCGGCACCAGCTCCTCTCTGCCCTCATGGACTGAGCTGCCAGCCTAGAGCAGGTTGCGGGCTGCCTAAGTCACTGCCTACTAATGAGTTAGACTGTTGCCACTGCCCATTCATCAGTTCATTTTACTGGGGGCTACAGATGAAACTTTGGTGCTCAGGGCTGAGATCAGAAGCCACCAAGGCCAGGCGATAGCTAGCCCTGACATTATTTATTATAGACCTACAAAGGGAGGGGGCCAGAGGGCTGCCTGGCAGGGGCTAGAGGAGGAGATAATAACTGCTGTAACTGTTGAGTGCTTTCACATGTTATCTCTGATCCTCACAACAACCCTGTGAGGTAAGAATCATGATGATGATGGTGATTCTTACTCATCACCATACTTTACATGTGAGAAAACTGAGGCTCAGAGACGTGAAATGACTAGGCAGGGGTGTCAAACTCATTTTCACCTGGGGCCACATCAGTCTCGCAGTTGCCTTCAAAGGGCCAAATATAATTTTAGGACTGTATAAATATAACTACTCCTTAACAGTTAAGCATGAGCTCAGTGTTGTCACTGGATAAAAACAAGGTGCCAGGCCAGATAAAACAAGGTGGAGGGCTGGAGTCAGCCCACGGGCCTTGTGTTTGCCACCTGTGAACTAGGACAAAATCACCCAGCTAGTCAGTCACAGGGAGAGTTAAAAAACCAGCCCCTGCACACACTCTTCTGAGAGTCCCAGGTGGCTCTGCCCTCCCAAACCCCCCAAAATCCCCTAGTGGCCCTCAGGAAAGCAGCCGGATCCTCCGTGCTCCTCTCTCCAAAGCATCTTTGCCCTCCAACTCCATGAGATAAAGCCTGTGCTTTTAGGGTGATGAGGGCAATCTGGGGGTCCCAAGTGAGCCTAAATTTTATGGGGAGCAGTGAATCAAAGTAAAGTGTAAAGAGCACTGTGGTGGAAATCGGAAAGACCTGGATTCTAATCCTAGCTCTGCTAGTGTGTGACTTTGGGCAAATCAGTGTCGCTTTTCCCATCTACACACCAGGGAGTTTAAATGGAAAAAACTTTACTTGAGCAATCAAAAATAAACATTTTTAAAAGTTTTTTAAAAAAGGATTACCCTTGCTCTGGCTGGTGTAGCTCAGTGGATTGAGCGCGGGCCTGCAAACCAAAGAATCACGGTTTGGTTCCCAGTCAGGGCACATGCCTGGGTTGTGGGCCAGTTCCGACAGGGAACCCAAGAGGGGCAACCTTACGTTGATGTTTCTCTCCTTCCTGCAACCTGCTCTAGGCTGGCAGCTCAGCCCATGAGGGCAGAGAGGAGCTGGTGCTGAGCCCCACATGTTGAGGACTTGGCAGAGAGCAGCAGAAATTCAGTCCATGCAAGGCTTGGGATGGGTACAGGGGTAGATCAACAGTGGAAGTGGCAACTTCCATATAGACCCTAGGAAAAAAACTCCTTCCCTTCCCCTCTAAAGATAAATAAAATCTTTAAAAAAAAAATTAAAAAAAAAAAAAAGGATGACCCTTTAGGGCCCTCAAAACCCAAAATTCAGACATTTTGTGTTCTTTCTCCAAATCTACCCCAACTGTTAAGACTTGGGGTATGCTCTGGCTGGTGTAGTTCAGTGGATTGAGCGCGGGCCTGTGAACCAGATGGTCGAGGTTCGATTCCCAGTCAGAGCACATACCTGGGTTGTAGGGCAGTTCCCAGTGGGGGACAGATGAGAGGCAACCATACATTGATATTTCTCTCCCTCTCTCTTTCCCTTCCCCTCTAAAGATAAATGAATAAAGTAAAAAAAAAAAACAAAAAAAACCCAAAAGACTTGGGGTGGATACAGGTTCTGCCTACAGTGCAGGCAGGATTTTAGCCTGTAGGGGGCCCCCATTGCACATTATTATCAGCATAAGTATTTGGGATGGATGTTCACTGGATGGATGTTCATTGGTAGGGGAACTCCTGAAGGCCACTGTGCCCTAACTCCACTTAAAGGACCTAGCTCAGTGAGTGGAGACTATGTCCATGAAAAGGAGTCCAGAGACCAAGGTCAAGCCCCCTCTCTGCCACATGCTTACTAACCTCCACCTCCCCTAGCTCCCATTACTTCCTCTCATAAGCCTCCTTTTCCTCACCAGGAATCTGACCAAGTAATCCTCAGGTCATTCCAGCTCAGGCTGTTTTGATAAGTCAGAAGAGAGGGAAATGGTCTTAACTTGAACTGTCCAGTGTTCTCAGTCCGGAGGGTGAGGCAGTAACATCCCTCCTCCTGGGGAGTTTCTGTAGAAACTGAGGGGAGGGAGCCATTTAGGTCTGGGCTAGGATACCATGTGTGGCTTGCAGGGCTACAGGGGAGGACAGTCCCTACTCCCACATTTTGAGTTTTGGATGGGATCACTCAGAGAGGCTGGGATGTGCTGAAACTAATTGCCCTGTGTAGTTTATAAAAGCCAGTCACTTATATGCTGTCATTGAGGTGTGACTACATGGGTGCATGCAGACTTGCATGCACATGTGTGTACATACATGCATAGGCATGTTTTTCAGTGGCAGGCCAGCCTCTTGTGGAAATAGACTATGTGGTCCCTGGTTGAGATGTAAGGCTCTGGCCATCTGGGGATGGAGAGCAGGTACAGTCGGAGCCTGACACCTGGCAGGGCTCTCTGACAACTGCTTTCCTTGTCTTTCAGCCCATGAGGCTCCCAGTCCCCACTGAGTGCAGCGCTGAAGGATGGCCCAGCTCTCCTCCACTCTGAAGCACTACACAGAATCGGCCCGCTACACAGGTGCCCCTTATGCCAAATCAGGCTATGGCACCTACACTCCCTCTTCCTACAGGGCCAACCTGGCTGCCTCCTTCCTGGAGAAGGAGAAGCTTGGTTTCAAACCGGGGCCACCAACCAGCTTCCTCACTGGTCCCAGTACCTATGGCCCCTCCTCCATCCTGGACTATGACAGGGGCCACTCCCTGCTGAGACCAGACATCATCAGGGGTGGTAAGAAAGCTGAGAGCCAGACTCGGAGCACTGACCGACCTTCAGGGAGTGGACTCAACGGGGGCAGTGGATTCCCTTATGGAGTAACCAACAGCTCCCTCAGCTACCTGCCCATGAATTCCTGCAACCAGGGGATAACTCTGACCCAGAAGAAGTCGAACAGTCAGTTAGACCTGGCCAGAGATTTCTCCAGCCTGCGGACCTCAGATAGCTACCGGACAGACCCTGGGAACCTGGGCCGCAGCCCCATGCTGGCCCGCACACGCAAGGAGCTATGTGCCCTACAGGGGCTCTACCAGTCAGCCAGCCGCTCTGAGTACCTCTCTGACTACCTGGAGAACTATGGTCGAAAGGGCAGCACACCTCAGGCCCCTCCCTCACGAGTCCCTGAAGTCCTCAGTCCCACCTACCGACCCAGTGGCCGTTCTACTCTGTGGGAGAAGGGTAAAGGCCCGACCCCTGGGCCCAGCTGCCCCAGCTCCCCAGGGCAAGACATCATGGTGAGTTTGCCCTTTGGGGACCAGGTCATGGGCTGGGGAGGCAGCCACTGAGATAGAAGAACCAGGTTGAAGGAAGGATTCCCAACTCTACTGATCGAACTCAGAAGTTTTCTTCTCACAGCAGCTACAGAAAGTCATCTAGGCACGTCTGATGCCTTGTTGGCTCGCTGCCCTGCTCAGCGGCTTTCACACTCTCCCCAGGAACCCCACTGCAGGACCTGTGCATTTGATAACGGTCCAGCAGTGCTCCCAGAAATGGTCAGTCACCCCCATATACATTGCCATTCTTGCCCTCTACTTTTCTACCCAACATGTCAGGGAGCATGCAGGCCCTGCCCCATCCTGGACTGGATGCTGAGGCCCCAAGACCACCAGTGTTCCCTCTGGTAAGAGAGGTCTCCATGGTCTGGTTGTATCTCTTCTCTTACTTAGGCTGTAATTTTCCAGCCTGTAGACCAGACTTAGCATTTGGGCCTAGTCACTGGAGAAGAACTCTCCTCTAATTGACACTGGCTGGCTCAGGACCAGGGTAACTGGACAACAGTCCTTATCATATCATTGGACAAATTTTTGTCTAGGGCTTTAGAAAACCCAAGACCTATATATTCCAGTCCTATCTGGGCTGGAATGAGGGAAGAGGCTCTGCTGGAGACTGAGCAAGACTGGCATGGTCTCGGTCACATCTAATCTCTGAACACACCCTCTTGGGGCACAGACTACATTCTGTCTTTCCTCTAGTTTTTGGTAACCCATTAGGTGCCAAGTGCTCTGAGAATGAGGAAAAAAATGGCATCTCTAGATCCCTTACCATGTACCTAGAGCAGCACAGAATTCAGCTGGTCTGCTGACTGCATGTATGGATGGTGAATGCATAGATTAGTGGGTGGATGGATGGATGGCTAGATGGGTGGGTGGATGGGTGGGTGGGTGGATGGATGGATGGATGGATGGATGGATGGATGGATGGATGGATGGGTAGATGGGTGGATGGATGGGTCGATGGGTGAGTGGATAGATGGGTGGATGAGTGGGTTGGTGGATGGGTAAATAGATGGACAGGCTAGCATATGGACAGAAAAGTTAGATGTTTTATCCCCTTTATGCACCCTTCCCCAACTCCTAGGACATGTGCCTTTTTTAAAGAATAGCTGCTTCACATCAAGCAATGTTGATTAGTGAGTTTGTCCAGATAAACAGCAGTAATGCATGATAGGGGTGGGGCTTTGGGTCACAGATCTTGAAGTTCAAAATAACTAAAGGTCTGGAGAGGACAACTTTGCTGACATTACCTAGAGAGTCTTGGCCTTGGTAGGCTGTCTGTGAAGTGCCATGGGCAACATAGAAGCTCACACCTGCTAGGACATTCAGACCCTGACAGAGCAGGACTGGCTACACTGGAGGGCTCATGTAGAGGAGGAATGGGAAACCACAGAGCTGGCCTGGGAGATAAGACATACATGCTGTCAGAGGAATGTGTGCTTGGGTTGCAGCATGATTCACTTGGGCATGTCTGGTGTTGCTCATCTTGGAGGCGATTAGAAAGCGGCTCTCAGTGGAGGGGCTTAGGTCCTAGAGGTGTCTGAGGGCATCCCCCAACTCAAAAGAGAAGGGTTCTTTATGGTATGCACTGTTCTTCAAAGTGGGGTCTGCAGGCTTCCTACATGAGAATCACCTGCAGGGCTTAATTCAGGAGCCTGGGCTCCACTCAGATCCCCTGAATCAAACTCTCTAGGGATAGTGCCTGGGAATCTACCTTTTTCCAAGCTGTTCAGGTCATCTTTAAGTACCCTGAGGCTTGCACTGGCTGAGTAGCTCAGTTGATTGGCGCATCATCCTGATACACCAAGGTTTAGGGTTTGATTCCTGGTCAGGGCACATGGGTATTTCTTTCTCTTTCTCCTTCCCTTTCCCTAAAATCAATTTTAAAAAATTAAGTATCCTGCCCTGGCTGGTGTAGCTCAGTGGATTGAGCGCGGGCCTGCAAACCAAAGGATGGAGGTTCGGTTCCCAGTCAGGGCACATGCCTGGGCTGCAGGCCAGTTCCCAGCAGGGGACACATGAGAGGCAACCAAACATTGATATTTCTCTCCCTCTCTCCTTCCCTTCCCCTCTAAAGATAAATAAAATCTTAAAAAGAAAAATTAAGTATCCTGAGGCTTGGAAATGTCCATTTCACAGATAAAGTATAAACCTCCCTGCTTTCCTCGGGCGTGTCAGACTCCACCAACAAGAGGCCCACCCAGAATAGACAGTTCTAACCAGACTCATTCTCCTCACTCAAATAACAGCCAATGTGAACTTGGACTACCACAGACTCAACTAAGCACAGTAAAGAACTGGTGAAGGGGAGATGTGAATTTGAGTAACCCTCCATGCTTGCAGAAGCCCAAGAAAATGCCAGTCCAGAGGACTGCAGCTCAGCCTGGGATAATGAGGGCTGCCCCAGGCCCTACCTTCTATTCACATGCAGACTGCAGGCATGCTGGAGAGGAAGGATGTGATGGTTCAAAACTGGTATTAAAAAAGAAAAGTTTTCACTACTCCCAGTGGGGACTCTAAGCCAGGTGGGTTGGCCCTGCAGAGAACCAGGAGCCCAAGTACCCAACCTAGTAATGTCCCCCTCCACCCCACCACTTCTGTTCCCTGGGCCTCAGGACAAGCTGTTCCTGAAGGGCTATGCTAGGGCTATACTAGGGCTATGCTTTAACCCCTACAATCCATTCTAATCCTCCTCCCCTCCACTCCCTCCAGCTGCTCCCTCCCTTGGCATTCTGCCTGCCAGTCTCAGCCCTGCCTTCTCCGTGCCCTGCCCAGGCCACCTTTCCTATCCTCAAGAGCCGGGGGTTGGCCTGGGCCCTTCAGAGCAGTCACCAGGCCAGCCACCTGCTATTTAGATGCAGAGCCAGGGACTGAGGGCAGAGGCTGGCCCAGCCTCTTCCCAAGCCTTGCCCTCTGCTCTGGGACCTGTTGCTAGGAGCAAAAGGTCTGGAAACCTAATGTACCTGGGTCCTATTTGCCCAGGGGCTGCTGACTCATCTGTTGAATCTCTGGGTTCCAGCTGTTCAGTGACAAGATTATATTGTATAAACTGAAGTCATGTGATTTTTCTCTTGAGTGGGACTTTAGACTTGACTGCTGCCATGCAGTGAAGGGGAAGTACTCCAAAGAGACAAGTTAAGGATGACAAGGGCTGCCCTAGAGCTCCTGAGTGACAAGTGTGGCCCACCTCTCTCATCCCTTGCCTTCTCACTGTTTACTCAGACAGGATGAACTACAGCCCTGCTGTCTTGTTTATCCAGCTTGTCTGCCTAAAACCCTGGGGCCTGTCCTTACCCAGTCAGCCACATTGAGGCAGCTAAACTTCCTGAGGGTTTGAATCTGTGTTGACATCAAGGAAAGGTCACTCAGAGGAGATCTTAAGCCAGAGAGGGACCTGTGGCCAAAACCAGTACCAGTTACTAAGAAAGAAAGGGCAGTCATTTTGTGGTCTGTCATTAGAGTCAGCAAGTCACTGATGTCTCCATTCCTTGAAGACCATCTGTGTGGGCTGTAACCTGGCCAGTGGCCTTGGTGCTGCCTTAGACTCAGTTTCTCAATTAGGACCCACACTATCCTGCCTGCTTCCCCTTCCACCCCCTCCCCAGGATGTCTTTATGAGTTATGCGGTGCCAGGGTGGGGTTCAGCAATACAAAAGTTAATTCAAGCCTGGCAAAATGTTCCCTGCCCCTGGAGGAGCTCTAGTGATTATTGGCTATAGAAATGAACATCATGTTCAGGGCACAGAGCTGTACACGAGCCCCTCTGCACCCTCTTACCTCAATGGATATGTAAAACTGGTACCCTAAACAGAGCTATAAGTGAGAGGGAAGTATGTGGGCCTCTAGAATCCAGCTGGTTCAGTCCAGACTGCCCTGAGGCTCAAAGCAGTAGAGCTTTTGGCTTCCTGGGGTATGAGTGATACAGGGAAGCAGGGCTTCCTATTGGCCTTTGCCCAGCCCCCAACAAGGACTCTGAACCCCTACCAGTACAGCCTATCAGGCCACCTGTCTGTCTATCTGCAGTGATAATAGCAGCTGTGTGCAGGAGCAGAGCCACTAAGATCTGAGGAAGCAGGATACTCTGTCTTGCCCTCACAGAGCTGAATCTGACTTTATTTATACTCCCCCTGCCACAAAGGATTTGAGGTGTAGAAAATTACTTATCCTACAGGGGAGGCAGACAAAGCACAGGCTCTGAGAAATCAGACTCAAGCTATAAGAATGAACCCTACTCAGATCAGGTCAGTGTTTTCGAGTCACAGAGACATGAAGCCAGAGCTGGATTCAGAGCCCAGGAGACTAAAGTTATCCCTCAGTATCCACTGGGCATTGGTTCCAGGACTACCTCCCTGCACCCCTCATGGATACCAAAATCCACTAATGCTCGATTCTATGTATAAAATGGCATTGTATTTGCATATAGGTTACAGCAGGGTATGCCTACACATTACTTCATTCATGTGGATTCAGTGTAGCACTCTGCATGTGGTAAATTCACATTTTGCTTTTTGAAACTTTCCAGCATTTAAAAAAGTATTTTTTCATTTAGGGTAGTTGAGTCTGTGAATGTGAAACCCATAGATACAGGAGGCCAACTGTATATGCTTTATCCATTCCACTTCAAGAAATGGTATTAAAGAGAAAGGGTCTCAAGGGGGCTTGGCTAGTTGAGAAATAAGCCACAATTCTTTGTTGGTTGTGCACACCTGCTTGACAAGATGACTCTGTGTGAATTCCTTCCCCTCCCCCCGAGACTTCTCAAAGAGCTCCTGTGTAAGAGCTTTCCTCCTCTGGGCCCCCTACTCCCACCGATGCCCATAACCTTCTGCATCCTAGGAAAAAGAAAGAGAGCATGCTGGCAGAATGCTAGGACACCTTGAGGTGGAAGTAGTCACATTGCTAGCTTAAGTCATAGGGAGATAGGCCAAATGCACCAGTGGGAGAGTGCCTAGTGGCTACTG